TATATATATAGATATATATATATATATATATATATATATATATATATACAAACATATATATATATATATATATATATAGAGAGATATATATATGTCTCTCTCTCTCTCTATATATATATATATATATATATATATATATATATATATATATATATATATATATATATATATATATATATATATATATATATATATATATATATGATATATTAAGGATATATATATAGGATATAAATATAAAGGATTAAAAAATTACAAAACATATTATTTTCTAGCCTACATAAATATAAAAACCATACTTTCATGCCTTCTTCATCTCAGGAGGCTTTTTCAGTTGATTCGTGGCTTTTCTTTTGTATAATGTTATTATTATTAGCAGTATTATTTATTATATCCATATTTATATTTGTTTTATTAAAAACAAGCTTAGATTTGCCCACCTGTCAGGTTTCAGACCATATGAGCCACAGCAAGTGTATTTGGATATAACTCAGTATTTTGAACACACTTCATTATTATTGTTCATTTATTTGTTTGCTGGAAATTAGAACTGAATTTAGAAATAGTTTTGAAACAAATCTTTGCGCTTAACAAACGAAAATGAATTATTTATAGGCTAATGGATGTCTTTGCGTACAAGGTTTCCCTATCTACGAGAGTGAAACCGAAAGTAAATAATGAGGAGGCTCATCTCTCATTCTCACACTGCAGATGCTCTGTTTAACTGTTTTCTTGCTAGTGAAACGCTCAGTTTTTCTTCTTACAAAGTCTATCATGTAAATAGCAAATGTGCTATGGCGCGACGCAACTGACTGTTAAAGGGAATGGGAGATGAGACTCTGATTGGTTTATTCCCTAAACACACCTATAACTCATTATGAAAATTAGCTCAAGCCTGTTAGACCATGCGCCACGGCGCAAAGCGGATTTTTCCATCCTTATATTAGCAAAAGTGAATTCTGACTCGCCCTTATTGCTTTTGTGCCCTGCGCTTTGGACTTTGCGCATGGTTCGTCAAAATAGAGCCCTTAATATTTACAAAAGATATCCATGTGCCGAAAATGAGTTTATTTCTCTGTTTCCTCTTCTAGAATGTGGATAGGTGGTCTTTTGATGTGTTTGCTCTGAATGAGTCGAGCGGTGACCACGCGCTCAAATTCATCTTTTATGAGCTCCTGACCCGATACGACCTCATCAGCCGCTTCAAGGTGAAGAAGATAAAGAGATACAGGCTGGATTGCTCTTATTTCAGAGGTATTAACACCGTTTCTCCAACAGATCCCTGTGTCTGCGCTGGTCTCTTTCGTGGAGGCTCTAGAAGTGGGTTATAGTAAATATAAAAACCCCTACCATAACCTGATCCACGCGGCTGATGTCACACAGACCGTCCACTACCTGCTGCTCAAGACTGGGATGGTGGTGAGATGACACACACGTTAGATATTAGTATCTTGAAAAATATTTAGTTAAATATGATGTACTGTCATCATGGCAAGGAAAAAAGAAATCAGTTATTAGAAATGAGGTATTAAAACTATTATGTTTAGGAAGAAAGATTTAAAAAAATCTGAAAATTGGGGAAAAAACATACAGGGGGCCTGATAATTCTGACTTCAACTGCTTAAACACGCACTGGCCACTTTTTTAGGTAAATCAGATGTCCAACTGCTTGTTAACACAAGTTTCTAATCAGCCAATCACATGGCAGCAATTCAGTGCATTTAGGCATGTATACTTGGTCTAGTCGATCTGTTGCAGTTCAAACCGAGCATCAGAATAGGGAAAAAAAGGGATTTAAGGGTGCTTTCACACCTGTGAATCGATTCAGTTGTTCCGAAACAGAGATTACAAATGTTACATTGTCGCTCTTTGCTCTTGGAGCGGTTTGCTTTCACATTGCAAAGTTTCTAATCGGACCAAAATAGCTAAAACAAGTCACATGCGAGTAAACTCTCCTCACATTGGTCAGAGTGTCAGGGTTTATTTTGCCGCGTCCCGCTGAGCTGTCAGGAGAGGTGGTGGTTTGGTGGTGATTGACAGGGTGCGCGCGCGATGTGTCTGAGGAGAGATGTGTTGGGGAGGGGTGAGAAGGGTGCGCGACGATGCCTATTTGAGGACCGGGAGGGACACACGAGATTACCGGGAGAATATCACTCGTTTGCGAGCATCCGGAGACTCGCGAAACTTCCCGCCCTACTCATAATTCTCTCTTCATATAGCCGTAAGCCTATTACATATCCCTAAAACACTGTGATATAACCGCGCTCGGATTGGATCGCTTTCTCACTGTAATCAAACCGCTCCAGGGTTTGTTCCAATCGAGCCGAGACCACCTCGTTTAAGCGATCTCAGAGCGATTACTTTGGCGCGGAACAGAGCGCGATTATCCTGTTCACATATGCCAAAACGAACCGCGCTTACTGGGCAATCGAGACACGTTCCGAAACAAAAGTGTAGGTGTGAAAGCACCCTAAGTGACTTTGAACGTGGCATGGTTGTTGGTGCCAGACGTTCTGGTTTGAGTACTGCTGATCTACTGGGATTTTCACGCACAACCATCTTTAGGTTTTACAAAGATTGGTCCAAAAAAGAGAAAATATGTAGTGCGCGGCAGTTCTGTGGACACACATGCTTTGTTAATGCCAGAGGTCAGAGGAGAATGGGCAGACTGGCTCCAGCTGATAGAAAGGCAACTGTTACTCAAAAAAGCACTTGATACAACCATGATATCCAGAAGAGAAACTCTAAACATACAACATGTCCAACCTTGAGGCGGATGAGCTACAGCAGTAGAAACGACACCGGGTGCCCCTCCTGTCAGCTAAGAACAGGAGACTGAGACTACAATTGGCACAGGCTCACCAAAATTGGAAAATAGAAAATTGGAGAAATGTTGCCTGGTCTGATGAGTCTCGATTTCTGCTGCGAAATTCAGATGGTAGGGTCAGAATTTGGCGTCAACAACATGAAAGCATGGATCCATCCTGTCTTGTATCAACAGTTCAGGCTGCTGGTGGTGGTGTAATGGTGTGGGGGATATTTTCTTGGCACACTTTGGGCCCATTAGTACCATCTGAGCATCATGTCAACACCACAGCCTACCGGAGTATTGTTGCTGACCATGTCCATCCCTTTATGACCACTGTGTTTATGACCACAATCTTCTGATGGCTACTTCCAACAAGATAGCGCTGTATGTCATAAAGTGTGAATCATCTCAGACTGGTTTCTTTAACATGACAATGATTTCACTGTACTCAAATGGCCTCCACAGTCACCAGTTCTCAATCCAATAGAGCACCTTTGGCATGTGGTGGAACGGGTGATTCACATCATGGATGTGCAGCTGACAAATCTGCAGCAACTGTGTGATGCTATCATGTCAATATAAACCAAGATCTCTGAGGAATATTTCCAGTACCTTGTTGAATCTATGCACCGAAGGATTAAGGCAAAAGAGGTTGCAACCCGATACTAGTAAGGTGTACCTAATAAAGTGGCCAGTGAGTGTATATGGTATATGAGGACTCTCCATAAAGGCTACCTTCATTATCAATGCTGTGCACCATGTTCTGGCAGCAGAGAGCAATTTGTTGATTATAATGATCTAATGTTGCATTGTTCCACACGCTCTCCATGCAGATTCTGTGTTAATCATCTTGATAATGTTACTGTGACAACATGTCGAAGAACTCAAGAGGAACTGTGCAGAATCTCAGTGTGTGATCATTAATTCTACTGACACTCTCACACACACACATACTGTAAACACACAAAGACACGCACATAGGCAGACACACACACACATCTTATTCATTCATTCATTCAGACACACAGTTTCCCACTCTCTCTTACAAACACACAGTCACACACACACACACACTTGTTGACCCCCACACATAAATATAGACAATCATACATAAAACATAAAACACACACACACACACTATTGACCAAAATCTCTTTGTCTGCCATCAGAATAATCATTACAGTACAATTAAGTCTTGCTCACACACTAAGTCACGTCTCTCTTCAGAACACACTTTTTTTCGAGTCATTTTACACCATGAGCTCTATTAGCTGATTAAATATTAAGATGAAGTCCTGAGAAAAGCAGCAGGCAGCTGACAGCTCCAGAATGATCTATTTACACACCGCTTGGCCATTATTTTACTGGTGTTGACTGAAATGGTCTATTATATAAAGATATCATATGCTTTTGATACTTTCAGCTTTATTTAGTGCCTAATGTTGCTGTTTAAGTGTGAAGGAAATCTGCTTTGAAAGAACACTAGTCAGAAATAATATAATTCAGAAAACGTTCAATTAGCTAATTGGACTTTATTGCCAAGATCTCAATGTGAGCTTAAACATTATCTAATGACATTAGCAAAATATTTATTTATTTATTTATTTATTTATTTATTTATTTATTTATTTATTTTATTTTTTATTGTTTTTGTTTGTTTTCATTTCTTTTTTCTTTGTTTTGTTTTTCTTTGTTTGTTTATTTATTGTTTTTATTTTATTTATTGTTTGTTTGTTTTCATTTATTTATTGTTTGTTTGTTTTTCATTCATTCATTCATTGTCTATTCGGCTTAGTCCCTTTATTAATCTGGGGTCGCCACAGTGGAATGAACCACCAACTCATCCAGCACGTTTCATGCAGGGGATGCCCTTCCAGACGCAACCCATCTCTGGGAAACATCCATACAGACTCATTCACACTCACACACTACGGAGAATTTAGCCTACCAATTCACCAGAACACCCGAAGGAAACCCACACGAACGCAGGGAGAGCATGCAAACTCCACACAGAAACGCCAACTGACCCAGCCGAGGCTCGAACCAGCAACCTTGTTGCTGTAAATCGTTTGCTTGTTTGTAACTTTTTATTTATTGGGTTTTTTTTTTTGTTTGTTTGTTTTTATTAACTCTGACTAGGCTTGTTGCTTAAACTATTAAAAATGTTGTAAACAAAAATAAAACTGAATTAAAATTAAAATGTATAAATGAAAAGAAATAGCTGATTACTACTTAAAGTACATTATGAATTATTGACATGGGAACTGACCCAAAATGTTTTATTACAAGCATTTATTATGACATTATGACTAATGAAAATAAATGAATAGCTAAAAATTAACATAAAACTAATATAAACTAAAATAATGATATATAAACTAAATAAAATTAATTCAACAGTAAAATAAAGAGCAGAAACTAACAAGAAATTGCAAAAACTTTAAATTGAAATTGAAAGTCAACAAAAACTAGTCAAAATATCAACAAAGGATATGATTTCAAATAATTTATACAGTTTAAGGCAGAATTATTAGCTCCCCTGAATTATTAGCTCCCCTGTTTGTTTTTCCCCAATTTCTGTTTAACAAAGAGAAGATTTTTTCAAAACATTTCTGAACGTACTAGCTTTTATTTCTAGTTTATCTCTTTTATCTTTGCCATGATGACAGTAAATAATATTTAACTAGATATTTTTCAAGACACTTCTATCCAGCTTAAAGTGACATTTAAAGGCTTAACCAGGTTAATTAGGTTAACTAGGCAGGTTAGGGTAATTAGGCAAGTTACTGTATAATGATGGTTTGTTCTGTAGTCAGTTGGGAAAAAATAGCTTAACAGAGCTAATAATTTTGACCTAAATATGGTTTTTAAAAAAATTAAAACTGTTTTTATTCTAGCCGAAATAAAACAAATAAGACTTTCTCCTGAAGAAAAAATATTATCAGACATACTGTGAAGATTCCCTTGTTCTGTTAAACATCCTTTGGAAAATATGAAAAAAAGAAAATTCAAAGGCTAATAATTCTGACTTCAACTGTATATATTTTTTTTGCAAATTTCAAGACTTAATAATTCATTAGTAAAATTAAGCATTTTATACACCAGTGTTATTTTGGTAATAGAATAGACTGTAATATAATATAATGTAATATAATTCATTCATTTTCCTTCGGCTTAGTCCCTTTATACTTCAGGGGTCCCTTCATATTGCACAACGGATACTCTTTCAGCTGCAACCCAGTACTGGAAAACATCCATACACTCTCATTCATACTCATACACTAAGGCTAATTTAGTTTACTCAATTCAGCTATAGCATGTCTTTGGACTGTAAGGGGAAACCGGAGCACCTGGAGAAAACCAACATAAACATGGGGGGCTAGCTAAAAATAAATAAATAAATAAATAAATAAATAAATAAATAAATAAATAAATAAATAAAAAACACCTTAAAAGCTGAACATTTCTGCAGATGTCTTAACCTTGCTGCTGTTATGAGGAAATAAATGAGATGCTTATTATCTCTCATTATTTTTTATTCATCAATTTTTTCAGCATTGGATGACAGAGTTGGAGATTTTTGCAATGATCTTCGCTGCTGCCATTCATGACTATGAACACACCGGCACCACAAACAACTTCCACATCCAGACCAGGTAAAACCCTCTTAAAGCAGACCTATGTGCAGAAATCACTTTTATTTGGGTTTTGAATACTGTTGTGGGGCAAATTTGTTAATATAACTCCTCATAACACTCCCTCAATAGCATAAACAGCCCTGAGTGAGAAGCAGCCATCTGCCATTAGTTTTGACACAGTACCTGCTAAAGAAAACGTCTGTGACTAAGAAGATAGCATTAGTCCTGTTTTGAATCTGCCACTATGCTGACATGTAGGCATTTGTAGCTCCGCCCTCTTTTTAAAAAGAGCACAATCTCATTTGAATTTAAAGCGACAGTCACCAAAGTGGCACAATTTGGATCAATGTCTAAAAGGGGACGTTTTAAAAGGTTATAGAACATTATTTGTGTGGTATTTTGAGCTCAAACTTCCCACACACACACACACACACACACACACACACTAGGGACATTGGAGACTTATTTTACATCTTGTTAAAAGGGGTATAATAGGTCTCCTTTTATACAAGCTCTTAAAAACAGCTTGTAATACCTAATTACACAGTTATAATTATTGCTTTTTTGAGTCATAAGAAAAGTGCACTACTAAAACGCAAGATCTAAATAAAAGTGAGCTGGGTTAGTGCAGAATGTATGTGAGATGAGTGTGTGTTGACTGGTACAGGTCAGACGCAGCGATCCTGTACAACGACCGCTCGGTGCTGGAGTCCCATCATGTGAGCGCCTCGTATCGACTGCTACAGGACGACGACGAGATGAACATTCTCTACAACCTGTCCAAAGACGACTGGAGGTACAGATGCTTCATTCATTCATTCATTCATTCATTCATTCATTCATTCATTCATTCATTCATTCATAATTGACATAGATTTGTTTACTTTTATTTCTAAAAAATATTTTATTTATTTATTTAATAATTTTACATAGATATCTTTAATATTTATTCATTTTTACATTTATATTTGATATAGATTTTTTACATTTATTTATTTATTTATAAAATTAGTTTAAATATTTATTTATTTATTTATCTATTTTTACATTGATTTTTTTTACATTTATTTATTATTGTTTATATTTTTACATGTTATTTTACATTTATTTATTTATAACATTAGTTTATTAAAATATTTATTTATTTTTACATTCATTTTTTTACATTTATTTATTTTTACATTTATAATATTACAAAGATTTTTTTTATTATTTGTAACATTATTTTTATATTTTAATTGATTTTTTATTAATTTATTTATAATTTTTTTATTTTTACATTTATTATTTGTTTATAACCTTGATTTCATTCATACATTTTTACATTCAATTTATTTATTTTTATATTTTTATATATGTTTATATTTATTTAATTATCTTTATATTTATTTATTTATTTTACATTGTTTATTTATTTTCACATTTATTTTTTATTTTTTTTATTTTTATGTATTTGTTTTTATATTTATATGTTTATGCATACAATTAAAGTCAGAATTATTGGCCCCCCTTTGAATTTTCTTTTCTTTTTTTTTAAAGATTTTTTTTATTATTTGTAACATTATTTTTATATTTTAATAAATTTTTTATTAATTAATTTATTATTTTTTTTATTTTTACATTTATTATTTGTTTATAACATTGATTTCATTCATACATTTTTACATTCAATTTATTTATTTTTATATTTTTATATATGTTTATATTTATTTAATTATCTTTACATTTATTTATTTATTTTACATTGTTTATTTATTTTCATTTTTTTTTTTCTTTATGTATTTGTTTTTATATTTATATGTTTATGCATACAGTTGAAGTCAGAATTATTGGCCCCCCTTTGAATTTTCTTTTTTTTTTTTCTTTTTTTTTCCCCAAATGATGTTTAACAGAGCAAGGAAATTTGCTCTGCAAAATCAGCAAAGTCAGTCAAAAGCAGTTTTAAATTTTTTAAAATCATTTTAAGGTCAATATTATTAGCCCCTTAGGCTATGTTTTTTTTTTTTACAATAGTCTACAGAACAAACCATCATTGTACAATAACTTGCCTGATTACCCTAACCTGCAGTTAACCTAATAAACTTAATAAAGCCTTTAAATGTCACTTTAAGCTGTACAGAAGTGTCTTAAAAAATCTAGTCAAATATTATTTACTGTCAGCATGGCAAAGATAAAATAAATCAGTTATTAGAAATGAGATATTAAAACTATTATGTTTAGAAAAGTGTTGAAGAAATCTTCTCTCCGTTAAACAGAAATCTGGAAAAGAATAAAAAAAATAAAAAGAATAAAAAAATAAAAAGAGGTGCTACTAATTCAGGGGGGGACTTCAATTGTATTCGTATTTATGCCTCTTTTATCATTCACAATGTCAGCACAGCATAATTTTAATTTTAAATTGAATTTATTTTTCATATTTATTGGTTTATTTTCACATTGTTTATTTATTCTTACTTGTTCTTATTTTTATTTGTTTATTTTTTTTAATGTATTTTATATTTTATGTTTATTTGTTTATGCACATTTTTTTCCATTGTTTATTTATATTTTGTTTATTTACTTAATGATTTATTTTTATGTGTTTTAATATTTTGTTATATTTATTTGTCAATGCACATGCTTGTGTGTATTCATTTATTTATTATCTTTAATGTCAGTACAGTATATTTTTTTTATTTCATGCATACATTTATTTATTTATAATTATTATTATTTACATATATGCATTTATGCAATTTACTTTTGCATTTATTTATAGATTATTACATTATTTTTACTTTTCTTTCAACGGTAAATATATAACACTAAATATAGGAAAAAAATAAAAAACAAATACAGTACAGTAAACGTCCTCCTGTTTAGAGGTCTAAACTGTGTGTTTCTGTGGTGTTTTTTTTATTTATTTTTTATTTTTTTTTTTGCAGGGAGTTCAGGGCTCTGGTGGTGGAGATGGTTCTGGCCACAGACATGTCCTGCCACTTCCAGCAGGTCAAAGCCATGAAGAATTACCTCCAGCAGCCCGAGGGGTGAGAAACTTTCACATCAGACCTGCTGCAGTTTTCTGACAGCTTCAGACTTTCATGTGTTTCCCCAGAGTGGGACGTTATTGCGGTTTCACAGCAGAAAACACTTTATGGAGATTGATGCTTCTCTAGATGATTCGGCAGCTGCTGTTGTGGAGGAAAAATAAAAGTGGACAAATGATTTATCACACACACACACACTGTTGAAAATGTGTACATATTTGTTTGTTTGTTTATTAAGTTTTTTTTGTATTTGTTTTGTATGTTTTGTTAATTATTTAAAAATGTTTGTTTGTTTGTTTGTTTGTTTAGTAGTTTATTTGGCTATTTGTTTGTTTGTTTTTTATTTAGTTATCTTTATTTATTTGTATTTGTTTGTTTAGTTATTTATTTATTTTTATTTGCTTGTTTATTTATTCTTTTATTTAGTTATTTGAATTGATTTTATTTTTTGTTTAGTTATTTTATTTATTTGTTTGCATATAATTTTATTTATTTAATTTAGTTTATTTGTTTGTTTGTTTGTTTGCTAATGAATAATGTTTGTTCATTATCATTTATTTATGTGTTCATTTAGTTATTTATTTTTTTAGTATTTGATTATTTTTTACATTTTTAAAAATATTTGTTTGTTTAGTAATTTATTAGGTTATTTTTGTTTGTTTATTTGTTTGATAATTTATGTGTTTTTTTAATTAGTTTAAAAAAATTTTTTTTGTTTGTTTAGTAGTTTTAGTTATTTGAGTTAAATTATTTGTTTGTTTATTTAGTTATTTTATTTATATGTTTGTTTATTAGTTTGTTTAGTTATTTTCTATTTATTTGTTTGTTTGTTTAGTGTTTATTATTATTATTATTATTATTATTATTATTAATAATAATAATGTTATTAATATTAGGTTTGTAATACAGCAACAAAGCTAAAATACTCTCAGTTTTTCTAATGTTGCATCTGACAGAAATTAACTTTTATTAATTTCTGCTGTAATATTAAACTAAAGACCTGTGCTTTGCTTAAAAAAAAAAAAAAACTTTTCCTTGATATAATACTGTGTGGTATGCATTAATATATTGTAGCAGTGTAGCTGAATGATGTATGTTATAAAGAAAACATCAGAAAATTCTCAGTTTGTTTTTCATATCCTCTCTGAATAAATATAGTTGAAGTCAGTTATTAGCCCCCCTGTATATTTTCCCCCAATTTCGCTTTAACAAAGAGGAGGTTTTTTCAACACATTTCTAAGCATAATAGTTTTAATAACTAATTTCTAATAACTGATTTCTTTTATCTTTGCCATGAAGACAGTAAATAATATTTTATCAGATTTTTTTCAAAACACTTCTGTACAGCTTAAAGTGACATTTAAAGGCTTAACTTGGCTAATTAGGCAAGTTAAGGTAATTAGGCAAATCATTGTATGATGATGGTTTGTTCTGTAGACTATCGAAAACAACTATTGCTTAAAGGGCCTAATGATATTGACCTTAAAATTGTTTTAAAAAATTAAAAATTGCTTTTATTCTAGCCGAATATGAAACAAATAAGACTTTCTCCAGAAGAAAAAATATTATAGGAAATACTGTGAAAAATTCCTTGCTCTGTTAAACATCATTTGGGAAATATTTAAAAAAGGAAAAAAAAAAATCACAGGAGGGCGAATACTTCTGACTTCAGCTGTATATTCACTCTTGGATTATTTTTCCAAGCTACGCATCGATGAATTTGCTCTTCAGTGTTTGAACTCTCAGTAATGATTAAATCACACTGAACAGAGCTAAACTGAACTGAATTGAACTTAAACACTAAAACCTGAACCACACTGTTCCAGTTACTATGACCATTTATGTGAAGCTGCTTTGACACAATCTACATTGTAAAAGCGCTATACAAATAAAGCTGAATTGAATTGAATTTTTATGTTTTCTTAACCCAGAATCGACAAACCCAAGGCTATTTCTCTGCTGTTACACGCGGCCGACATCAGCCATCCCGCCAAAACCTGGGATCTGCACCACCGCTGGACGACATCTCTGCTGGAAGAGTTTTTCCTCCAGGTTTGACACGTGTTTGTGTGTTCGCCAGGTGTTTGCATGTGAAGAGCAGATCTCATTGCATGTATTTTAATCCCCTCTCGCTTCTCTTCTGATTGCCCTTTCATCCAATCACACGTAAGCCTGAGCGAGGATTAACACAGGCTGCAGAAATGAGAGCGTGTCATTGGAGTGTGCTTCTGAACATCTGAATATAACTGGCTTTCACTACAATCACAGGTCTTCAAAATAAAACTCAGCACAATCATGTGAAAAGCAGGTTACTCTTCTTTGAAACATCACAACATTGTTAGATACAGTATATGTACACTCACTGGCCACTTTATTAGGCACACCTTTCTAGTACTGTGTTGGAACCCTTTTGCCTTCAGAACCGCCTTAATCCTTCATGGCATAGATTCAACAAGGTGCTGAAAATATTCCTCAGAGATCTTGGTCCATATTGACAAGATAGCATCACACAGTTGCTGCCGATTTGTCTGCTGCACATCCATGATGTGAATCTCCCGTTACACCTCATCCCAAAGGTGCTCTATTGGATTGGGATATAGTAACTATGAAAGCCATTTGAGTACAGTGAACTCATTGTCATGTTCAAGAAACCAGTCTGAGAAGATTCACGCTTTATGACATGGTGTGTCATCCTGCTGGAAGTAGCCATCAGAAGATGGGTACACTGTAGTCATAAAGGGATAGACATGGTCAACATTACTCAGGTATTCTGTAGCATTGACTGCTCAACTGGTACTAATAGACCCAAAGTGTGCCAAGAAAATATCCCACACACCATTACACCACCAGCAGCAGCCTGAACTTTTGATATAAGGCAGGATGGATCCATGCTTTCATGTTGTTAAGACCAAATTCTGACCCTACCATCTGAATCTTGCAGCAGAAATCGAGACTCATCAGACCAGGCAATGTTTTTCCAATCTTCTATTGTCCAATGTTGGCAAATTGTAGCCTCAGTTTCTTGTTCTTAGCAGACAGGAGTGGCACCCGGTGTGGTCTTCTGCTGCTGTAGCCCATCTGCCTCAAGGTTGCTGTTGTCTTTCTATCAGCTGAACCAGTCTGGCCATTCTCCTCTGACCTCTGGCATCAACAAGGCATTTGCACCCAAAGAACTGCCGCTCACTGGATATTTTCTCTTTTTTGGACCATTCTCCGTAAACCGTAGAGATGGTTCCCAGGAGATCCCAGGAGATCAGCAGTTTCTGAAATATTCAGACCTGCCCGTCTATCATTAACAACCATGCCACGTTCAAAGTCCCTTAAATCACCGTTCTTCCCTATTCTAATGTTCAGTTTAAACTTAAGCGGATCGTCTTGACCATGTCCACAAACCTAAATGCATTGGATTGCTGCCGTGTGATTGGCTGATTAGAAATTTGCATTAACAACAAGATGGACAGGTGTACCTAATAAAATGGCCAGTGAGTATTTCATGCTAGTTCTACTGATGCATTTTATATGATTTAAAAAAATAGTTTTTTTGGACATTGTCAAAAGAATTTTTTTAATTTAAAAAACTTTCAAACTATGTTATAAAGTTTAATAAATATGTGTTATTACTGTAGTCCCCAAAATCCCAGTCCCCAAAATAGTCGTCTACACAAACAGGCAAAACGCATAAAACCCCCTTTATAAGGCACTCATTGAAATGAAAAACTCTTAAGTTTATTATTGGGGGCATTTATATAGAAATATAAAAACCTCAAGCAATAAGAAGGTTACTACCATTTTTATACCCACAACCTTCACAAAGCCCCTCCCTCATAAAAGCTCAGTATGCTCTAAATGGCCAGCATAACCAGTATGTTTTTATTTAATACATTTTGTTATTTAGTAATCTTTGTTTATTTGTTTGTTTGTTTTTAAGTAGTTTATTTATTTATTTGTATTTATTTGTTTGTTTAGTTATTAAACTATTTTCATTTGTTTATTTGTTTGTTTTTTATTTATTCATTTGTTATTTAGTTATCTTTCTTCATTTGTTTGTTTATTTATTTATTTTTATTTGTGTATTAGTTTATTTGGTTATTTTTGCAGCAAGAAAGCTAAACTACTTTTTCAGTTTTTAGTCTTTCTACTGTTTCTTGTGACAGTTACAAGCTGTAATTTTTGTGTGTGAGTGTGTGTGAGTGTGTGTGTGTGTGTGTGTGTGTGTGTGTGTGTGTGTGTGTGTGTGTGTGTGTGTGTGTGTGTGTGTGTGTGTGTGTGTGTGTGTGTGTGTGTGTGTGTGTGTATATATATATATTACAAACCACAGGAGAGGGAAAAACTCTTCAGCAGGATAGCGCTCCTTCTAATACTTTAGCCTCCACATAAAAGTTCCTGAAAGCAAAGGTCAATGTGCTCCAGGATTGTCCAGCCCAGTCACCAGACATGAACATTATTAAGCATGTCTGGGGTAAGATGAATGATGAGGCATTGAAGATGAATCCAAAGAATCTTGATGAAACAATAACACTTTCTTTGCCATTCCAGATGACTTTATTAATCAGTTATTTGAGTCATTGCAGAGATGTATGGATGCAGTCCTCCAAGCTCATGGGAGTCATACAAAATATTCATTCCTTTTCTACTGCAGCATGACTTTATATTCTATACTGTACATTATTTCTGTTAAGTGACAAGACTTTTGTCTAAGCAAAGTCAGACCTTACTGTCCTAATTAAATCATTAAAAATCAAGGCAAGATCATATTTATTTTGGTAAAATAAGCATAATCTAGAGACCTTTGGCTTTCATATAAGCCACTTCTGATACCAAATGATCAGTTATTATTTTTTGTTCCTAAAACTTGGATAGGCAACAAGACTTTATCAGATGTAGTGTATATAATACAAGA